GTCGGGAGGACTCTTGTACTTTAACCACACTAAGACAAAGGTAAACAAGAAGGACAGATAATATAGTGTAGGTTCCTGTATTATAATGACACTAAGACCAAGGTAAAAAAGAAGGACAGATAATATAGTGTAGATTCCTGTATCATAATCACACTAAGACCAAGGTAAACAAGAAGGACAGATTATATAGAGTAGATCAAGGTATTATAATCACACTAAGACCAAGGTAAACAAGAAGGACAGATAATATAGTGTAGTTTCCTGTATTAAAATGGTACTAAGACCAAGGTAAACAAGAAGGACAGATAATATAGTGTAGATTACAGTATTATAATGACACTAAGACCAAGGTAAACAAGAAGGACAGATAATATAGTGTAGATTACAGTATTATAATGACACTAAGACCAAGGTAAACAAGAAGGACAGATAATATAGTGTAGATTACAGTTTTATAATCACACTAAGACCAAGGTAAACAAGAAGGACAGATAATATAGTGTAGATTACAGTATTATAATCACACTAAGACCAAGGTAAACAAGAAGGACAGATAATATAGTGTAGATTACAGTATTATAATGACACTAAGACCAAGGTAAACAAGAAGGACAGATAATATAGTGTAGATTACAGTATTATAATGACACTAAGACCAAGGTAAACAAGAAGGACAGATAATATAGTGTAGATTACAGTATTATAATGACACTAAGACCAAGGTAAACAAGAAGGACAGATAATATAGTGTAGATTACAGTATTATAATCACACTAAGACCAAGGTAAACAAGAAGGACAGATAATATAGTGTAGATTACAGTATTATAATGACACTAAGACCAAGGTAAACAAGAAGGACAGATAATATAGTGTAGATTACAGTATTATAATCACACTAAGACCAAGGTAAAAAAGAAGGACAGATAATATAGTGTAGATTACGGTATTATAATGACACTAAGACCAAGGTAAACAAGAAGGACAGATAATATAGTGTAGATAACGGTATTATAATCACACTAAGACAAAGGTAAACAAAAGGACAGATAATATAGTGTAGATTACAGTATTATAATGACACTAAGACCAAGGTAAACAAGAAGGACAGATAATATAGTGTAGATTACGGTATTATAATGACACACACTAAGACAAGTATTAGGTAAACAAAAAGAAGACAGATAATATAGTGTAGATTACAGTATTATAACCACACTAAGACCAAGGTAAACAAGAAGGACAGATAATATAGTGTAGATAACGGTATTATAATCACACTAAGACAAAGGTAAACAAGGACAGATAATATAGTGTAGATTACAGTATTATAATGACACTAAGACCAAGGTAAACAAGAAGGACAGATAATATAGTGTAGATTACAGTATTATAATGACACTAAGACCAAGGTAAACAAGAAGGAAGGACAGATAATATAGTGTAGATTACAGTATTATAATCACACACTAAGACAAAGGTAAACAAGAAGGACAGATAATATAGTGTAGATTACAGTATTATAATGACACTAAGACCAAGGTAAACAAGAAGGACAGATAATATAGTGTAGATTACAGTATTATAATGACACTAAGACCAAGGTAAACAAGAAGGACAGATAATATAGTGTAGATTACAGTATTATAATCACACTAAGACAAAGGTAAACAAAAAAGACAGATAATATAGTGTAGATTACAGTATTATAATGACACTAAGACCAAGGTAAACAAGAAGGACAGATAATATAGTGTAGATTACAGTATTATAATGACACTAAGACCAAGGTAAACAAGAAGGACAGATAATATAGTGTAGATTACAGTATTATAATCACACTAAGACCAAGGTAAACAAGAAGGACAGATAATATAATGTAGATTAGATTATTATAATGACACTAAGACCAAGGTAAACAAAAAGGACAGATTATATAGTGTAGATTACAGTATTATAATCACACTAAGACCAAGGTAAACAAGAAGTACAGATAATATAGTGTATATTACGGTATTACAATCACACTAAGACCAAGGTAAATAAAAAGGACAGATTATATAGTGTAGATTACAGTATTATAATCACACTAAGACCAAGGTAAACAAGAAGGACAGATAATATAGTGTAGATTACAGTATTATAATCACACTAAGACCAAGGTAAACAAGAAGGACAGATAATATAGTGTAGATTACAGTATTATAATCACACTAAGACCAAGGTAAACAAGAAGGACAGATAATATAGTGTAGATTCCTGTATTATAATCACACTAAGACCAAGGTAAACAAGAAGGACAGATAATATAGTGTAGATTACAGTATTATAATCACACTAAGACCAAGGTAAACAAGAAGGACAGATAATATAGTGTAGATTCCTGTATTTTAATGGTAATCAGACCATACCTAAAGAAGAAGTACAGCTGTACTGTGGTTAATTCCTTATTTCAATAACTGCAAGATCAAGGTACACAAAACCCCGTCACACTGTTGTGTAGATCCTTGAACCTGAATGACCAAGGTGAAAACAACTGGGAAAGCATTTGATAGATACAACATGTGGTACATAGAACATACTCCTGACGGGACTGATATCTGATATACAAAGTACGGGTAGATTCCAACCTTGGCCGGATTTGATTTAGCGCCCAGTGAGTCTGGTCTGTTTTTCTGTTAATGCAGGCAGTGTTCGTGAACGGTGTCAATATTACTGCATTCAACAAGAAAGCCTCCAACGGCTTCATCTTCCTTGTGAACAAGGTCGTGCTACAGGGATCAGGATTGCTGAACACAACCACCAGCAAAACGTCTGGACAACTCCGCCCACAAGCAAATGTCCTGTGTCGTAATGGCACTTGGGGTATAAACTGCACTCAACATGGCAACGGTACCCATGGAAACTTCACATATAACACCAATACTGTCAATCACCCAATCCAGCATGCCAATGGCAAATTATGCATCAATGGGACTTACGGTAGAAACTGTTCTCACCATGGCAACGGTACCCATGGCATTGTAACCCATAGCAACGGTACAATTTGCCCCAACGGAACCGTGGGTGTCAACTGCACTATCCACGGTAACGGTACTCATGGCAATATTACACATGGCAGTATTGCACACGTTCTAAGTCAAAGCTATGGTCAGTACAGCACCTTGATTGCCGACTTAATGAAATCTGGAACCTGGAGCGAGATAGAGAGTAAGTAACACATTTACTTATTGAAGACATTGTGTCACTCTTTGCTTTAACTTTGCCTTTCTTTTAATCGTTTTACTGAATGTATACTTATGTGTTCATTAGTATACTAGCCACATAAAGAAACTGTGCATTGTCAAAATATTATCCCAGTTGATAATTACGATAACAATGTCAAAGGTACATATAAACTTTAATGGAGGGATCATGAGACCATAACAAGTCGGGAGAATTTCAATTGAAAAGTCAATCACAATGACGTCAGGAGTCCACAAGCGGGACAGGGGTCAAACGACCATGTCACAAGTTCAATAACGGGTATGTCTACCATCGGCATTGAGAACAGCAGTGCATCGACGACGCATAGAGCCTATCAAACGTGCAAGGAAGGCTTGTGGGATGTCACGCCAGATTCTCTTAAGTTCTGTTGCAAGGTCAAGGACGTTATCTGGCGGATGAGGAAGACGGCGTAGACGTCGATCCATCTCGTCCCAAACATGCTCTATCGGGGAGAGATCCGGTGAATGTGCAGGCCAAGGCAGTAAGTCAACGTTGTGGTGTTGCAAGAAATCCATAGCAACCATTGCCGTATGAGGGCGGGCATTGTCCTGTTGGCCGTTAACCCAGGGCCATGACGTTGCAGAAAAGGAATTGCCACAGGTCGAAGAATCTGATCCCTGTATCCCACACCAGTTAAGTTGCCCTGAACAATCTTGAAAGGAGTTCTTTGACGCGCTGTTATTCCACCCCAAATCATCACGGAACCACCACCAAAGCGATTCCTCTCCAAGACACAGGCCTGTGCATAACGTTCTCCCACGCGTCTATAGGCACGTTGACGTCCATCACTATGAGAAATGTTAAACCTGGACTCATCTGTAAAAAACAACATTTCTCCACCAAAACAAGAGTCTGCGGACATGATTTCGGCACCACATTCGGCAAGCTTGTCGATGACGTTGTGTCAGGATAGGCCGTATGGCGGGACGTCGTGGTCTGATCCCGTGATGACGTAAACGTTGTCAAACTGTGTTGGGGTGCATACGGCGAAGTCCTGGGATGGTTCGGGCAGTCATCACTGCAGTCTGACACCTGTGGCGAAGATGGGTCACCCTTATCCATCTGTCCGGCGTTGTTACACGTGGACGTCCAGAACGTGGCCGATCGATGACGTCATTTGTGTTCTGGTAGCCTCTCACCAGTGCAGAAATGGTGTTCCGGTGGCAGTGGAAATGTGCAGCAACTTGTCGTTGAGACATTCCCCCACGGACCATCCCAATGGCCTCATGACGTTGTGCAGACGTGAGCCTTGGCATGCTATGCGTTTCAATAGCCGTTTAATTTTTTGAACGATCGCAAGGGCAGGGGTTGAGCTGTCCAAAGTGACAGTATTGTGTGGCATTTATTTGCTCTGTTTCTCTTTCCCGGAATACACGTGCAACAACGTATTGCACGTCTCAAGGACGAACCCTCTGACGTCACGGAACGTGGCACGTGCATGCATGTTGGATACATGTCACTAATCTTTGAGTTTAAATCCTTCTGTGTCTACACAGGTTTGATAAATTTAGATTTTAAATTTGTGTATGCACAGTTTCTTTATGTGCCACGGTAATACAACAATTCTGTGAATGATTGAACTGAAACATGAACTTGCCTTGCGGCGACGAGGAACTTTCTCCATGTTGAGAACCAGTGGCCAAACACGTATTGCTGAACATGTCTCTTCTGTGAATACACAATGTCCTTTATCTCTTCCGCTAGGACCACATGTGACCCTTCTTGCGCCGACCAATGCGGCGTTCAGCAAGCTCCCGACGGCCTACCGAAACAACCTTGACAATCACGCCAAATTTCTGAAAAGTATGTACACCTCTTTGTTTCGTATTCACACATTACCTAACACAAACTGGATATTTCTCCTCCAAGTTGTATTTACCTCCTCAAATGGATCAGCTGTATAAAATTACCATATCACACACAGTGTTGATGAATGCATGTTTTGTGTGTTTTTTCAGGTACAATGATGTACCACATTCTGAACGGCATCCACGGTCCCCATTCCCTGCATCAGAACGACATGCTCACCTCCCTAGAGGGAAACCGCATCCACGTCTCCATGCAGAACGGTGAGACACATATCATGAGAGAGACTAACTGACTGTACATTTTGAGGAAGTAGATCAACACATTGGTTGGTTGGTTGGTTGTTTAACGCCAAACGCAGTATCCAGCTCTATAGCTGCGGTCTGTAAATAATCGAGTCTAGACCAGACAATCCAGTGATCAACAGCATGAGCATCTCGCTACGCAATTTGGATACGATGACATGCGTCAACCAAGTCAGCGAGTTTGACCACCCGGACCCGTTAGTCGCCTCTTACAAGCATGGGTTGCTGAAGACCAATTCTAACCCGGATCTTCACGGGTCCAATACACATAAGCTGAAACAAATTCTTTCGTGAAATAACACTCACCCTATGTGTATAGAGGCCGCGAGATGATAATTCTGATATTCAATTGATATTTTTACATCAAACTGGTTTCCCAAATTGGAACGGAAAACATTTTTCAGTTTTGCACCTGAAATTCCTTTGGCAGATAGAGCTTGAGACGATATTCTGACCCAGAACTGGCTTACTATCACATATGCTTACTATCACAAGGTTTCTAGAGGCTGTTATTTATGGGAAGTTATGGGAAAGTTGTTATCAAGGCATTGCTCAAGTTCTTCACTATGCTTTGCCTGGAGCTATCTAGACACGTCGCGATTCTGACTCGTGTCGGATGTTTTCCTACAGGCTATGCATCGGTTTGTCAAGTAGTCTTTCAAGTGATATTTTTATTATCGTATGACTCTCAAAAATATGACACTTTTTTAAGACTAAGAAGGATTGGGATGTATGTGCTCAATATTCTCTGCTTGCTGAAAAGACGCCGGCGCGTACCAATCATTTAAAGCTGCGCAATTTACGAAACATTCTATAAGCTCTCTCCACTTGGTTGTCTAAACCTCAACGAGTGCTGTTATAAACGGAATAAAATCATTTTGTTGGGAATACATTGCAGGTCACGTGCACCAGTTCAACAAGGTCAGCATCATGAACGTGGTTCATGCCACCAACGGCGTCATCTACGTCCTGAACGGCGTCCTTCACCTTCCAAGCAGCCCTATTGTATGAAGCAGATCAGAAGAAACCCTGTGAAAGAGATGCAATACTGCATCATGTAGAATGTTGTAATAAAATGACACTGCATCGGCCGTGTGTTTTGAAACTTATCATTAGTGTCTCAGCTCCAAACACTGCATTTAACTTATAACATATGTCCGGTACCTCAACTTGTCACACATGCCCGTGCACTAAAGTCTTCTACACTAATTATTACACATGCTCACACACTAAATGTCAACTACTTCAATGTAGTCAATATGTAACATTATATATATACACCTGGAAAAAAGTTAAGCACCCCCGGTATTTTTTACAAAGCTGAATGTTTCGGCTAACATCAGTGGTGTGCATCCACAGTACGTTGGTAAAGCTACATGTTGTTCTGTAAGGTCATGTCTTGACTTCAAGAAAACACAGCAAGGGACAGTTTACTTCAACGTAGTAATAATGGATATGGTACTATACTTATTACACAAAATCATCTATTTTAGCTCAGAATGATACCTGTTGTAGGTGTGGAGCAAGAGAGAGGATCAATCAACATGGCGACATGAGACAAAAACGTATTTTTGTAAAGTGGGAACCTTGTACAATAATAATATCTAGTATACCCTCCACGTGGCAATTATGTTGTTTCCTTTGTCTATTATGTTGTTTCCTTTGTCTATTATGTTGTTTCATTGTTACATACAGTATATATATGCAGCTCCTACACTTCATGTATCACTCTTGCTTGACAACGGTACAAGAATCTGTATCGAAACGTCGCACTCACGAAAAATAAAGAAGTACGTTGTTATCCATAAAACTTGTTATATATTGTACGTCTCAACTTCTAAAATGCCACTCAAACAAGTTACCCTCCACGTGTTTTATAACTGCCTGTACCCCTCGTCGCATACCCCCGTCAGACGTTGTATCTATTGTAGAGGAAACGCCCAATAATGTGCTCCCAAATATGCACAAGGATGTTCAGGTTTGGACTCATGGCGAGCCACTGCATTATTCTTAATGAAAGTTGTCATCTGACGATAACGGTATAGCCTATCGTTGTCATCCATAAATATGGGTCTTGTAACAAGAGGATGAATAACAATATGTGTGACATCAACAGGATCAAGCACCTCCTTGATATACTGATTCCCCGTCAAATTGAAAGTTAACGTATTGTCGCCAAGTCAAGTTTACAGTCATGAGAGACACATCCCCAACAGGACGGAATCTCCTCCAAAGACAACAGTTGGTTGAACATTTTTGCTGCAGATGCTGTATTTCGCTTCCTCTAATTTCACAAGCGTCCATCAGTTACAATGACCTTTCGTATTCTTTGCCATGTCCTCGGATTCCAGTGTTACAGTGGTAAACACCAAGCCAAACGTTCTTGTTGTCACTCAGTAGAGGACGTTTGATGGTCCTTCTAGAGTTGTACCAGGCTCTCCTTAGGCGATTCCGAACTATTCGCGTAGAGGCCCGGCGAAAGAGTAAATGTGGTGCTTTCAGAACGTTGCTTGTGGCGAATGGATGTCGTCGAGTGAGCCTCAATATTCCCTTGTCTTCACAATCTGAGGTCACCCTGGGTCGACCTTCACTTCATGGCTTTCCCAATATTTCCTGAAAAAACGACTGACAGCTGTGCAGTGGACATTCATTTCATTCGATTGCTTTCAAGAACATACCGTAGTTATGCATACCAACCTCTGGCCATCTGATAATCGTCTTTGCACCATAGTGACAGCTAAATGAGTGAGCATTGTAACCTATGCAGATTAAATACTTTGTGTGTTTGGGAGACACGTTCTACTAAGTACACTTGTGACAATATTTTAAATGAAAGTTATTATCATACGTATCACAATACACGACCTGAACTTGAACATAGCTCTGTTCAGGCAACACGTGTCTGTCGGTGACGTTGGAGCAAAGTTGGACGTATTGCAGGCGGTCGGGGTCGGAAGTTGTACTCCCTCAGTCTGTTTCCTACAGTCCTGGAACTGATTGGACGTCAGCCAGGAATGGTCCGAGCAGTCAAACTGCCAGTCTGGATTCCTTAGATGGGTCAGTTGAATGGGATAGTCTCGATGTGACGTCACGCGTGAACGGCCGGTCTGAGTAAAATCCCATTATGTTGAAAACGTCTGTCATTCTGGGCCATCACAGTCTCCAACATACCAACGGAGCGGAGACGCCGAATTTATGTAAGCCGTGGCATGACATGCGCATAGTTTAGATTGAAATTAACGTGTTTTCCACAACATTCGGACGCTAGAGAGTATTCAACCGATCTTCAGTTTTCAATATCAGGTGTGTGAACTTCAAGTATCAGAAAGCATGCAAAAAGTTAGTTAGTTCATTGTACACAAAGTGCACTTGCGATGCGCAATACGTGATGTCAAATTTCATTCAAAATGCTTTCTTACATGGTTATTAAGGCATATGTTTTCAAATAATTTTTGATATAGCGTTTATTCTATGCAGTTTTATGTTAGGCATATTTAATTTTTTCCGTTAGTATATATCTTGCATCAGTTCTAACTGGTACTGTCAAGCAGTCACTTACACTCTTCAACTCTTCCCCCCACATACTGTTACACATGAAACATACAATGGCCCATTGTCCACAGCTACGAACTATTATATACGAATGAGCATTTGATGTTGGTTGCACTCGTCGTGAACGTCAAGGTCACAACGCTTACCTGCAGGCTCTTGATGTCTGAGTCCGTTGCTTGTAGGGTTTTGAAGCCATCTACTTCCTACAAAGGCATCTAGTAGCATTGTTATGTTTGTTTCAGTCATGGCGGCTGCTGTAACTATTTCTGCCCAACACACAAATCAATGACTGATATTATGAGCAAAATAACATGAAACCCACACACAAAAACAACATGGTCGACTGTATGAAAATATTTATGAAACAAGCATCGGGTTTAAACTAATACATTGGTGCGTTATACACTGGCGAGCAAAAGAAACTACCAGAAGAAAAAGTACTTTAGAAATCGGATTTAAAGACGAAACAATGTTCTGAAATCATGTAAGACCAATCGTACAAATTCACATGAACACCATCGGATGTAAACTAATACAAAGGTGTTATTGTGTATTATACACAGGTTAGAGATTGGATTCTCACAGGCGAGCAAAAGCACACTATACCATAGGGAATTATAAATTCTTTTCGAGATTGGATTCTCAAATCATGTTGGACCAATCGTACAAATTCAAATGAAAATTTTGGTTTAGTTGACGGAACTCCCTATAAATATATCCTTTAAAAGTTCCATATTACGTTGAGCGCAGTTAAATCCTCACATATTATCTGTCCTAAACATAATTATAACCTCATGACTTAGTCGACCCGGTTTGATGTTCAGATACCATGTCTATCGTAAGATGCGATGCGCCTGAGAAGATTTTTGATTTAAACATATTTATTCAAGAGAATGGATAGGGTACAAGTTATGCCAACTTAGTGAAACCCTCTCCTATTTACAGTGCTTACATGCAAAAGTGAAAGAAACTATATGTACAGGGATAGAAAGATATATACAAAATGATATATACAATACAATGAATACATGAATTATTTAGATCATACACATTATATCCAATCACTGAACCTTTTGGAATTTGATATATATTTTTGAACTTCTTTAAAAATTTGAATATTGTCACTATACGGAAGATCTGCACTGCCATTTAATAATACGTCTAGGTTTGTTGGTGCTTTAATGTTACAAATTCTGCTAATATTTTGAAACATTTCCTGTCTGATAACAGAATACAAAGAACATTCCATAAAATAATGTTGAGAATTTTCACAGGTAAATTTACAATTACATTCGGGGTTCTCTATGAGACCGATCCTATATAGATCACCATTTATCTACTATTTAAATATCTTAGCTGGGTATGAATTACATTGAGTTTTCTATTACCAAATGAGAAATATCCTGGTGCTTTTGACTTACGCGAGCTTATATGCGATTTAAAACTTTTAAGGAAACTGATTCTCTAACATATAAAGGGAGATTATTCAAAGTTGTGCAGATGTTGGGAAAAATGATTGACTGTAGAGATTTGTGCGGGAATAGTACTGGGAAAGATTACGAATGTTTCTAAGATTATAGTTTGTCCTAGATTCAACAGTTTGAGGCATAAGATCACAAAAGGTTGGATGGAGCATTTTGTTGTAGATATTATAGAATAAAGACAGTTTACGACATCTTCTTCTTCTTTTAACATTTGCCAACCTGTTTCATATATCAGAGTATCTCTAGTAGCATATTTTGGTAAACCAGTAACTATCCAGCGGCCTCAAACTGAACTTTTTTCAATTTTATCGGTTAAATCTACCGAACAACCATCCCACAATTCACAAGCATATTCAAGATGTGGTCTTATGAATACAATATAAATCGTATTAAGAGTGTCTCTGTTTAACATAAACTTTAATTTTCCCATTGATGAAACCATCAAGGACGTTGTTTTTACAATGTTATCAATATGTGTGTTCCATTTACAATCAGAAGAAAATGTTACTCCAAGATGTATATGGGATTTTTCCAAACGTACACACTGAGTTTCAAATTCTAAATTTAGAATTGTATTATTATTCTTAAGACTGAAAAGTATAGCTTCTGTTTTGTTGGGATTGTATGTCACAAGCCAACGTTTTGCCCAGCACGATAAATATTGTAGGTTCTTATTGAGTGTCTCTTGCATAAGCCTGTGATTGATAGATGAAAATCCCATTGATGTATCATCTGCGAACAAGCGTGCAGCACAATCTAGTTCATCAGCAATATCATTAACATATACTATAAACAGAAAGGCCCAGGACTGATCCCTGGGGTACCCCGGCTGCAAGAGATTTGGGATTTGATAATGAACCATTTAAAAACACCTTTTGAGTCCTGCCACTGATGTAACAGTGTATCCATTTAAATAATTCTTCACCTATACCGTAGCTTATTAATTTCTGCCGTAATCCTCGGTGCCACACTCTGTTAAAG